TTGTGCAGTGTGCACATATGGGTGCGTGGATGGATGGGATGGATGGGGACGGAGATCGTGGGTGGGTGGATGGATAAAGAAGGTGTGGTACGCATGAAACTGAGTATTACTCAAAAAATAATGGAATCGTCATCTGAGGCAACATGGATAAGGTCGGGAGGCATTATATTAAGTGACACAGAGCCAGGCACAGAGAGACAAATATCACATTAGGAAGCTAAATAATGGGTCTCACAGAAGTAGAGAAAAGAAGCATGGTACCAGAGGCCAGGAGCTGGGGAGGGAAGAGGCTGGTTAGTGGGTGCCGGCTGCAAACGGATGGGAAGAGCTCGGAATATTCTACCGCATGGTGGCGTGTCTGTGGTTGACAACTGACCGTATATTTTTTAATGGCTCCTGAGGAAGATTTAAATATGCTCAACACAAAGACAGACTGTTCGGGCTGAGGGGTGTGCTGACTGCCCTGATTCCATCACCGCGAGCTGCACACCACACCGAGGTAAGTTTTCCCCACTGACAGACGGAACCCCGAAGTGCAGACATTAGTAACTTCCCCAAGGTCACACAGCTGCTGAGTGCAGAGCCAGGGTTCACACTCAGCCCTCGGAGTCCTGGTCTCTAACTCCCGAGCCACGGAGGTATTCATTAGGTGAGGAAGAATCTCACAGTTCCCCAAACCTCCTAGGGCACACGCATGGGGGAGGCCTCGCCTGCCTCTGGCCTGACTGCCCTGAGCCAGCCCCGCTCCCTCCCAAGCTGCTGGAGCTCCTGAGGTTTACAAGCTCACGTTCCACGGACTCTATTTCAGAATCAGGGAGTAACTAGTCAACTAGTCACTTCGAGTTCAAACCGGTCCTCTACAGTCCAGTCTGAAATAGCAAGGCGATGCGTGGCACGGAGCCCATCTGTGCCCACCCGGCCACCTGCAGGCTGAGACTAGGTCTCTGCGAGCACTGTGCGCGTGCGCATTCTGATCCTGTGCGCATGCGCATTCTGATCCGGGGCCTCCTCGGCTCCAGCGTGAAATATGTCACATTTCATTCCTAAGGACAGGATGAAAGCAGACAGCTCCCTCATGAGCGGAAGTAACACATTTCCCTAGGCCGGAAGTGGTTTTATGTTGAGGGTTCGAGCACACAGAAGCACAACAGCTAAGCACAATATCAGGACAACGGAGTAACTGGGTGCCTCGCTGCAGCCCGACCAGGCCGCACCCCCCGGCCCTGGGTCAGTGGGTCCCCGAGGCAGGGACTCGCGCGCGACCCGTGGCTTCCTGAGCGCCGGCCTGTCTCTGGCGCCCCCCTGGCGGCTCCGGCCTCCGCGCTGGCCAGGCCCCGAGCGCCTCCAGGCCAGGCACCCAAGTTCCTCCTTTCCTGGCCCTGAGCTCGCCCTGCCCTGTCCGCCTAGGAATCTCTGCCGGGCCAAAAGAAAGAGGCGATGCCCGGAACAGCAGCTGCCACTTGTTCTCAGTCACCTCCGCGCGTTTTTCTCTATCCACGAAATAAAAGCAAAGCAAAGCACCTAGGAGCTGAGCAGACCTGTGACAGTGAGGCTCACCCTGACCGGCACAGCACCCCACGAGGGGTTAAGTGGGGGCTATCCACTCACCTGCAGGCCCACACCCCACTCCTGCCAGCACCCCCCTTCCCCGTCCATGGCCTCAGACGGGGAACCCCTCTTCTCCCTGAGTCCAGAAAATGGGCATAAATGACACTCACCATGTACAGGGCCGAGACTCAGGAAGGAGAACACGAGGGCAACATGAGCGTGGGATACTTTAAAAGAATGGTGGGACCAGTCACCGCACGACGGCGCCCCGGAAGGCATCCCGAACCCCTTCCTGTGGCGTGCACGCCCTCGCGAGCTCTGCCCCAGGACTCGAGGTGACCGAGGGGCGGCTTCTGGCCTACAGCCCTTCCGGGTCACCCGGGCCTCACCCAGGCACAGCCGGTGGCCTGGTCCCCCAACTTGGGGCTCGGCCTTCATTCCACACCTTTATTCCCAATTCTGTGTCCAGAACATGCAAGTGCCCACGAGAGTCAGAGAAGTAATGGGGATGTGGGCAGTGGGCTGGGGGTGCAGCAGGAGGGCGGGTCAGGCAGGCCAGGGGTGGAGGACATGGGTGCAGGACACAGCTGCCTACAGCCAGCTGTTGCCAGGTTGCTAGATCAATGCTCATGTATTTTTCTGCTTTTTGTTTTTAAGACAAAAGATGTCAACGTATGAGGGTATTTTTTTTTCCTGAACTAAAACTTCTGGTTAATTGCAGTGTTGGCATTTCACAATACATAAGCAGGCTTGGGATGGCAGCTTGGCACCGACTCTAAAAGGTTTGCCATCACCATGCTGGGTCGTCACATCTTTCCAAGAAAACAGTGTGCGACCTCTCTCTGCTGCTGGCAGCTCTTTTCAGTGTTTTAAAGAGTGCCCCGGGGGTTAAAGAAGTCACTTCTGGGGGCTGGCCACGGACACCGGTTTACAAACAGCAGCTAGACGCTCTCTCCTCTGGGGCACACGGAGGCCCAGCCCCTCAGTGACACAGACGTGCACGGTTACACCAACGTGCAGGGCTGCCTTTGGCTGGGCTGCTGCCTTCCCTGTCCCATGCCTGCCCTGCCCTGAGCTCCAAAGCCGAGGAAGGATCCAGGAGAAGAGGCTGCAACCCAAAACCTGCGCGAGGCTAGGCCACGGCCCCCCAGGAACTGACAGCCCATGCTGACTTCTCCGGGCCAAGTCAGTCTTAGGATCCACACCAGTTCTGAATCCACTTCTGTGGGGAAAAATGAAACACCAAGGGGTGCTGTGTTGTCCAGCGAGATGAGGGTGCTGCATCCTCTTGATGTTCACCCCTGCAGCAACCCTCTTAGGGTTGGCTCAGCCCAACAGGGACCCCCACAGTCAGCGGTGCAGCTGGAGCCCCTGATGTCTGCCTGAGGCTATGGGCTGTAGGGTTCACCACCATTCCCAGCTGTGTGGCCCAGGACTTTTCTGAGCCTCAGGAAAATGCGAATAATAATAGCACTTGCCCGTGAGTTGTTTATTGAGAGTTTTGTGAGCTATTTCCTGCAAAGAATTTGCAATGAGGAAAGGATCATTCTGATTCCTCAAGGAAAGACAACTCTGCTCTATGTGTCATTGCCTGGCCTCAAACACTTTTCCATCTGGGCTCCACGGCTGGCTTCCCTGTCCACCAGGCTGGCTGGCTTCCCTCCCTTTCCTCTAATGTCTCATGCAGCAGTCTTTCTCTACACCAAGATGGAAAACAGTTTACTCTATGTGTCAATCATGTCTGGAGGGGCAGGCTATAGGTAACCAAAGCACAGAGCTCTGGAGTGCTGCAGTCATTTAGTAATGCCTGCCATGTGGCAGAGGGGCCACTGCAGTACTGCAATTGATTAGTAATACCTACCATGGCAGAGGAAGTGCTGGTGTACTACAGTTGATCAGTCACGCCTGCCTTGGCAGGAGCAATGTCGGAATGCTGCAGTCAATTGGTAATGCCTGCCATGGCAGAGGACCTGCTGGGTGGCAGGTGTGGGTAAGCATGTGACATGTGGCACTGCCTTATCTTAAAGAATCCCTTTGGGGTTAGACTCAGGCTCCCTCTTTCTCCAAGTGTCCAGCTCCTCTGCTCAAACAATGACCTCACAGAGCAAGGACCATGCCAGGCTCTGAATCAACAATCCCAAGTCTAACTTGAAGGCTGCAAGAGGATCCAGGCTTCTTGCAGGACACAGAACCCACCGTGGGCTGCCAGAGCCTCTGTGTCCCTGTGGCAAGGCCAGCCCATTGCCCACACAACATGAGGACCATGCTGGACTCGTGGGGAGCCCCCACTTCTGACAGCACCCCCAGAGCAAGCCCACGCATGCTGGGTTTGCACTTCCACTGTGGCAGCAGCTGAATGTCCACAAACACCACGGGCTGCCCATGGTCCCCTTGCTATGGAGTGTAAAGCCTGCCGGGGCCACACAGCTGGTGTCTGTCACCACCACCTCCTCCTGCTACCCAGCCACACTGAGCTGCGTAAGACAAAGACAGGCGGACTCCCAGCACACAGCCTCTGTCATACAGGGAGGGCTTCTAAGTCCCTTTAGCCAAGGACTCGCTGAGGAGGGAGACACTGTTCCTGAGTGCCCTCTGAGGCTGGGAATGGGAATTCGCCAGCCAGGTGCCCAGGACTCTCAGGACTCTCTAGACACTGACCACAGCAGGGACAGGGGCTGCTGTGATGTGTAACGGTGGCACCGACCCATGCCAGGCTCAGGGGTTTTACCACATCGGCCTCATCCCTGATGCCCACCCGAGAGAAACCACCGCTTCCAGCAGCCACTGCTCCCTGACCCTGCAGAGGTGCCTTCTGTCCACAGTCCCCTAGTACCTGGCGCTCTGGGTGCTAATCCTGCTCTGAACAAGCCTGCGCTCTCTGGCCCCTGCTTGGGTGGCCCCGGGCTTTTGAACCATTCCTCCCTCCATCCCCAAATCACACTGCCCCTTGCGATCCTATTCAAGATGCCACCGCCTCCACCCTGACACAACACAGCTCTCGGTCTGAGCTACAGCTCAGGACTGAGCTGGATCTGCCAGCCCAGAGATGGGCAGACTACGGCCCACAGCCAGGGCCAGCGCTCTCCTGCTTTTATAAATAAAGCTTTATTGGGACACAGCTGCACACACTCACGGCACCAGCACTCACACTGCATCAGAAAGGTTGGGAAGTGGCCAGAACCATCAGGAAGGACAAGGCGTCCATGTCCCCACCTGTCTGCCTCTACTGAGTCCCCCTACCCCCTTCTGCCACCATCTCTGTAAGTCACCGGAGCCACCTGGGCATGCATGGAGCTCAGCTCTGTGCCCTGCTGGGTAAAATCAGTCCTGCCCGCTCTGTCCAGCGCCCATTGCACTGCTCTCTGGCCAGTGCTCAGCAAATGATCAACACCAATATGCTGGCTCCATAGCTCACCCGTCACTGCCCCCTCGGACCCAGCAACGCCTCTTACCGAAGAGTGAACTGGTCTGCCGTGGAGCTGCTGGAGAGGGAGACCAGGAAAGTGGCCGCGTCCCCCTCTCGGATGAGGTTCAGGGGGACGGAGAGGGCGAGGTTGTCGTCCAGGCTCAGCAGGGACCAGCGCAGGTCATCCTGCGTGGGGTAGACCACCACGCTGCCGATGCGCTCACGAGCCGGGGATGCAAGCGGGGGCCCCTCGTGGCCCGAGTGGATATTGTTCTCCCACTTGCCCTGGTCCTCCAGCGGGCATCCGCCGGCCTCGTCGGCAGGGTAGAGGGAAAAGAACAGCTCCATGGCCGTGCCCCCCAGCTGGGCCGGGATCTCCTCCTCCGGCTCCAGGTCCAGCCCCGAGCTGAACCACTCGGGCAGCAGCTCCAGCTCGGCCACGCACAGGCCTGGGGCACCCTGCAGCCGGCAGCTGGCCGCCACCTCCCTGGCCTCCGGGAAGGCGAACATCTTGACGCAGGGGAGCTGCTCCCCGGGGTCGCCGTCATCCCAGCCCATGCCGCTGACGTAGAACAGGGTCTGCACCTTGGGCCTGTTGGAGTAGATAGAGCTGTCCAGGATGTGAGACTTCAGCTTCCAGTTGAAGGGAAATTTCTCCAGGCTCCCGAACGGCGTGGATGTCACCAGGAGCTCGGCGGGGACCACTTTCTCCGCCCAAAACGGGCCGTAGCTGGCGTTGACGGTCGGGGGAGCCCGGGCTCGGTAGATGAAGAGGGCCTCGGTCCGCGCCTGCAGGCTGGAGTTGCGCATGAGGTCCTGGTTGGCTTCTTTCAGGAAGAAGGCCTCGTCCACGTCCATGACGTGGAGATCAGCAGGCAGGTACGCAGGCAGCGAGGAGAACCTCTGCACGCTATCCCCACCTCGGCTCTCCGTCACTGCGCAGGGAGGGAAGCAGAGGAAGAATAAAAGCCCGTTGTGGTGGGCAATAAAAGAAACCCAGTGCAGTCTGCACCCACCCTGCAGCAAACCACCGGCCCGACCCCACCCTGCCCTCCTGTCTCCAGTGGCCAAAGTCCAATTGTGGAAGCCAGCAGGATCTTCAAATCACCAGTGTGCAGGCGCGATGGCACACACCTGCAACCCCAGCACTCGGAAGACTGAGGCAGGAGGATCTCTGCAAGCTCAAGCCAGCCTGAGCCACACAGTGAGACCCTGCCACAAGCCCCAAATGAAAACAAACTAAAACTAAACCCCAGAGCCAGGGCAAAGGAGCTCCCTGCCGGTCCTGGGGCTGAACAGCTGCCTGGCTGGATGGAAAACATCACCTGCTCCCTCTTGTTCTTGCAAAACCTCCAAGCTCAGAGGTTCCCGATCCCCACTGAGGGGCTGTACCCCACAGCAGGAGACATGTTCCAGTTTTGCTATTTCTGCCCTCCCCCATGTGACGTCTGCTTGGAATTTAAACATCTCCGTGATTACTGAACAAGTGGGAAGCTTTGGCTGGGTACCCCGGTTTCCAGGGTGCGCCTCTCCCAAAGTCCCAGGGAGACCACAGAGCAGTGACTGCAGCCTTCACCACAGCTCCACTCAAAGCCACAAACACAGGGCAGCACACACCCAGGGACCCGGGGACCCGACACCTGGCTTCCAACCCTGGCCTGCCGCATCCCAGCTACTGAACCCCCTGTGTCTCCAGTGGCCTCCGAGGAAGCAGAAATAAATGTAAAAATGCTACTTATTGGGGTGCTATAAAGACTAAGGGGTTAATAAATAGGAAATACTCCGAATATGTGTAATAGGGGCCTATGAAAATGTTCAGTGTTTACCTGATCCTATCATCAGCAGGTATTATTTTAATCCAAGCTAAAAGTGGACCAGAGGAGGCTTAAGGTATGCATCTGCACAGCAGAACAATAGAGAGCTATTAAAAAAGAGCTACGGGGAGATGCTGAAACATGGGTGTGCTTTCACAGCCGTGAAGGAGCCCACGATACGTCACCAAATCTAAACCACAAATTATCAGTGTGTCGCTGCTGCGGTTCAGTTGTGTCCCCCGGAAGCCCATGGATGGGAACCTCAATTCTCAGTGCTGCCACTGCGAGGTGGGGCACTCAGGAGCACCTGACAGGGGCTGTGGAGCCCTGGAGAACAGGCTCTGCCAAGGACTGCACCGTGCTCTCCAGAACCGTGAGCCCGATGAGCCTCTATTCCTTATAACCCTCTTCGTCTCCCATAATCTGTTACAGCGACAGCAAACAAGACAGTGGTAATGATCCTATCTGGGTAAAATGTCAAGATTCTATAGATGCATTTAAATGTACATGAATGTTTGTTTGCGTACCTATGAAGCCCCAAAGAAAAAGATACTTGCTTTGTGGACCATTTATTGTCTACAATAATAAAGTATTCCTTGTTAATGAAGGTTGTAATATACAGGGGGGCACCGTGATGCCTCACTGGGGGCTGGTGAGAGAAATAAACGAGCCCCACGGCCCCTGGCTGTTCCCCACGGCCTCTGGCTGTTCCCCACAGCCCCCGGCCGCTGCTAAGGCTCCAGGCAGAGCTTCGGCAGCAGGCGCCCTACAGCGCTGCCCTTGGACCGACCACACCTTGTTGGGTGAAGGATTAGAGGAGGCTGAGACTCCTCCGCTCCCTCCTCCATTTATCTAACCATCGCGGCTGCCTGCTTACTGCATGCCCAGCCAGCACAGCGGCCTGGAAGAAGCTCACAGCAACAAAGTAGACTCGATTTCTGCCCGAGGAGCCAGCAAACTTCGCAGAAGGACACAGGTCACCGTCACAAAGCAACCAGGGAGCTGAGCATCAGGACCCTTTAAGATGTCCCTCCCGGCAAGCCTCCACCCCAGGATTTGTCCAGGAAACCATCAGACGAGCAGAATGGAGATCTGCCTGCAACTGCGTTCATCACAAGCGTGATTTCCATCCTCGACACGCTGGGTACAAACTGAAGACCAGGATTAGACCAGCACGGTGGTGCACGGCTGTACTCCCACCACTCCGGGAGGCTGAGGCAAGAGAGTCACAGGCTCTTACAAAGTTACTAAGTTTCTAAGCCGAGAAACCTAGTAACTTAGTATGACTCTGTCTCAAACAAAGAAAATAGGGCTAGAGATGCAGCTGAGCGCAAAATCTGGGGTTCGATTACCAGTAACAGCGAAAAATAAATAAGAATTTAAAAATTCAGTAAATCGTTAAATACATCACTAAGCCATTCATGTGTACAGAATTAAACCGCCACCAACACCTCGACTTTACAGCACGTTCACGGAAAAAGGATACATCAAAGCACTGTCTGAATTATTTCCAATCTGCTCCCACATGGACCTGAGGAAGATCCCTCCTCCTATCACACACCTCTGAGTTTCCTCTAAAATGCAGCCATGTAAACCGGGCCAGATGAGGGTTCATGAACTGAGAAAGACAAAATAGGACTTGGAGGAATCCGCCTCACCAGCAGGAGAGCTATGGTGGCTGCCACCACGGGGCCATCTGCATCTGGGTATCGTCACGCAAGGCAGAAACCTCCAGATACACTGGAACCGGTTTTTGTGCTGGTGGTTTCTTTATTCCTCTCCAAACAGGAAATCAAACTCCAGATGGGCTCTCCCGGAGGACTCGGGGGACACCCAGCTCCCCAAGTTTGCAGTTAAGAGGTTCAGCTGTTACCTTCTCTTAAAATGGAGGTGAGGTCCAAGTGAGGTTTAAACCCGGATTTGCAGACGCAGAAAAAGACCCAGAAATACACGCAGACTGAATTCGGGCTGCTCTGGGTTGCAGTGGCCGCCCCTCCCTTTTCCTCTGTCATTTCTTAGCTATTTCACGCCTCTCAAAAATCGATCTCCGGGAAATTTAAGGCCGAGCCTCCTCTCTTTATTGTAGGCAAAGCCCGTGTTTCATCCGAAGCGGCAGCCTGAGGTTTACGTCCCTGCCCCACTGTAACTCAAGCGAAATGCAATACAGATGCTGTCAGAAAGCTTTATGCAGGGAGCCATAAACCTCAGCTGCCAGGCCCACTCTGCCCTGGAACCAGCTTGCAACAAAACATGAGGTCTTCATCCAGCAGCCGTCAGCGACCCCTGAGACTGTGGTCTCAGAAATGGTCACCCCGAGGCCCAGAGGCTAACACTGTCCCTCATTCCCAGGTGACAGCCACCACTCTGCTGCCCTCGGCAGGTGGACCGAGCAGCCGGATGGAGCAGCCACGCTGGACAGAAATGGGGTCCCCCTGGGGCTGCGGGTTCCCTGGAGGGCTTCCCCTCGGGTGGTCAGATTCCAGCCAGGGCTGGTGATCTGTGCCGAGCAGCTCAGAGTCCCAGGCTACAGGGTCCCCGGGAGCCCCGGCCAAGGCCGGTGTCTGGGAACCTAGTGTGCACCAAGAGCTTCGCAGCCATCCGGACACTCGTTGGGTACCTGCGAGCATCCCCAGGACACCACAAGCTGTGCCCCTCCTCCATGTCACCCCCTCCCCGCGCTCTCTGGGGCACCCTGGGGGGCGTCCACCTTGCCCTTCGGTCTCAGCATCAGCTCCTTGTGCCCTCTCTGAGCCAAATCCTCGTTGTGGTTCACACGGTGGGCAGAGAGGACAGGAAGTCTCCCCCCCACCCCGCTTCACTAAACTGTCCCCCCCCCCCCGTGCTCTTGGGGCCCCTCCTGCCATCCCGGAATTTGCCCCTGGATGACAGAGGCCCGTGACCATTCATTCATTCCTGAGCAGTTACAGGAGGGCAGCAATGAATTCCCACGCAGGCTGTTCCTGCCACCAGTGGTGCCCTCACTGTACGGTGGCAAACAGGTGCTCAGCATTTGAAAACTGAGTCACTCGTTAGAGAAACAAAAACAATAAATATTTAACCACAGGGTAAAAAAGTCAAATGGGAAAAACCAGCTGAGTTTGTGCCTTTTCCAGCCAGGTAAAAAACAGCAAGGGCCGAGAAAGAAGATGAAACCACACAAAGAAGACGGGGGGAAGCCGCCAGTGCCAGCTGGTCACTGGACAAGAGTGATGCTCGTTTTGCCCAAGAGTCCTCTCAAGCACTGTGTGACCAACACCCAGGAACAGGAAGTAGGTCAAGAGCGGACAGGAAGCAGGTCAAGAGTAACAGGAAGTAGACAGGAAGTCATCAGGGCACAGGAGTCAAAAAAGAAGGAGCAGGGCCCTGCCCAGATCCAGCTTGTTTGTATGTTTGTTTGTTTGAGACATGGGGTCTTGCTATGCAGTTCATGCTGGCCTTGAACTCATGATGTAGCCCAGACTGGCCTCAAACTTGTGGTGATCCTCCTGCCTCAGCCTCCCAAGTGCTGAGATTACAGGCATATGTTATGTTTGGCCTCCCAAAGCCACCCCTGCAGGTCTCTCTTTCCCTGCACTGGCAAAGAACCTAATGGGGAACAAATGGTCAAGTGAAATACGGTTTGCAGAGTCCCTGGCCTAGCATCGCATGCCAAGGGGAAAAGGGCCCATTTGGAAGCTGGAGCCAGTACCTTAATAGCCGGCACGTCCCATTTTACAGAAGGGGAAACTGAGGCAGGAGGGGTTCAGGAATACATGGCATAGGTGATGGTTCCAGGAGAGGGATCCCGGCCAACTGGCCCCACAATACACACTTCAGCCACCACCACCACCCCAGGAAAGAAGCTGGGACAGGGGAGAATTACTTCTAGTACCCCGAGATGCATCGCATCCTCAGAAGCCAGGAAGGCAGCAGCTTGGCCCAGGGGAGGCAGCAGAGGGAGGCTCCTCCTTCCTCCGCCCACAAAGTCGAGACCGCTCATGCCCGCTCTCACCCTCCCCTCCCGGAGGACCCCAGTGCTCTGGACTGAACCCCAGGTTTCCCTAAGCTCTGAGACGCTTAGAGTGAACAGCAGCAAGCTGAAGGTCACTGTGGGCCTGCAGTGAGGGCTCTGCACGCCTGCT